ATTTATAGCTCTAAGTGCCCACATCAAAAAGCTAGAAAGATCTTAAATTGACACCTTAACATCACAACCGAAAGAACTAGAGAACAAAGAGCAAACAAACTCCAAAGCTAGCAGAAGACAAGAGATAACCAAGCTCAGAGCAGAACTAAAGGAGATTGAGAAAAAAAAATCCATCAAAAAAATCAATGAATCAGGATCTGTTTTTTTGAAAAATTAATGAAATAGATAGACCACTAGCTAGACTAATAAAGAAGATGAGAGAGAATAATCAAATAGACACAATAAAAAATGACAAAGGAGATATCACTCCACAGAAATATGAACTACCTTCAGAGAATACTATAAACACCTCTACACAAATAAACTAGAAAATCTAGAAGAAACAGATAAATTCCTGAACACAGACGTCCTCCCAAGATTGAACCAGGAAGAAGCTGAATCTTTGAATAGACCAGTAATAAGTTCTGAAATTGAGGCAGTAATAAATAGCCTACCAACCAAAAAAAAGCCCAGATGGATTTACAGCTGAATTCTACCAGAGGGACAAAGAGGAGCTGGTACTATTTCTTCTGAAACTAGTCCAAACAATTGAAAAGGAGGGACTCCTCCCTAACTCATTTCATGAGGCCAGCATTATCCTGATACCAAAACCAGGCAGAGTTATAACCAAAAAAAGAAAACTTCAGGCCAATATCCCTCATTAACATTGATGCAAAAATCCTCAATAAGATACTGGCAAACTGAGTCCAGTAACATATTCAAAAGCTTATTCACTACAATCAAGTTGGTTTCATCCCCAGATGCAAGGCTGCTTTAACATACGCAAATCAATAAATGCAATTCATTACATCAAACAAAGCTAAAGATAAAAACCACATGATTATCTCAAAAAGGCTTTCAGTAAAATTTAACATCACTTCATGTTAAATAAAGCTCTCAATAAACTAAGTATCGAGGGAACATACCTCAAAATAATCAGAGCCATTTACAGCAAACCCACAGCCACTATCTTACTGAATGGGCAAAAGCTGGAAGCATTCCCCCTGAAAGTTAACACAAGACAAGGGTGCCCTCTCTCACCTCTCCTATTCAACATAATATTGGAAATTCTGGCCAGGACAATGATACAAGAGAAAGAAATAGAGGGTATTCAAATAAGAAGAGAGGAAATTAAATTGTCTTTGTTTGCAAATGACATAATCCTATATCTAGAAAACACCATCATCTCAGCCCAAAAGCTCCTTATGCTGATAAGTGACTTTAGCAGTTTCAGGATACAAATTTAATGTGCAAAAGTCACAAGCATTCCTATACATCATCAACAGACGAGCAGAGAGCCAGATCATGAATGAACTCCCATTCACAATTGCTACAAAGAGAATAAAATACTTAGGAATACAGCTAACAAGGGATGTGAAGGACTTCTTCAAAGAGAACTACAAATGACTGCTCAAGGAAATCAGGACACAAACAAATGAAAAAGCATTCCGTGCTCATGGATAGGGAGACCGAATATCATGAAAATGACCATAATGCCCAAAGTAATTAATAGATTCAATGTAATTCCCATTAAACTACCATGGACATTCTTCACAGAATTAGAAAAAGCTATTTAAAACTTCATATGGAACCAAAAAAGAGCCCAATAGCCAAGACAATTCTAAGCGAAAAGAGCAAAGCTGAAGACATCACACTACCTGACTTCAAACAATACTATAAGACTGCAAATAACCAAAACAGCATGGTACTGGTACCAAAAAAAAAAAAAAAAAGGATGCATAGACCAATGGAACAGAATAGAGAGCTCAGAAATAAGACTACACATCTACAATAATCTGATCTTTGATAAATCAGACAAAAACAAGCAATGGAGAGAGAGGATTTCCTATTTAATAAATGGTGCTGGGAAAACTGACTAGCCACATGCAGAAAATTGAACTGGACCTCTTCCTTACATCTTATACAAAAATTAACTCAAGATGGATTAAAGATTTAAATGTAAAACCCAAAACAATAAAAACGCTAGAAGAAAATCTAGGCAACACGATGCAGGGCATAGGCATGTGCAAAGTTTTCCTGATGAAAAGGCAAAAGCAATTGTAACAAAAGCAAAAAATGACAAATGGGATCTAATTAAACTAAAGGGTTTCTGCACGGCAAAAGAAACTATCATCAGAGCAAACAGACAACCTATAGAATAGGAGAAAACTTTTGCAATCTATCCATCTTATAAAGATCTAATATCCAGAGTCTACAAGAAACTTAAACAGATTTACAAGAAAAAAACAGAACAATCCCATTAAAAAGTAGGCAAAGGACATGAATAGACACTTCTTAAAAGAAGACATTTATGTGGCCAACAAACATGAAAAAATGCTCAACATTGCTGGTCATCAGAGAAATGCAAATCAAAACCACAATGAGATACCATCTTATGCCATTCATAATGATAATTACTAAAAAGTTAAGAAATAAAAGATGCTGGTGAGGCTGCAGATAGGAATGCTTTTACACTGTTGGTGGGAATGTAAATTAGCTTAATCATTGTGGAAGACAGTGTGGCATTCCTCAGAGACCTAGAAGCAGAAATATAATTTGACCCAGCAATCCCATTACAGGGTATATACTCAAAAAAATATAAATCATTCTGTTATCAAGATACATGCACATATATGTTCATTGAAGCACAGTAGCAAAGATGTGGAATCAACCCAAATGCCCATCAATGATAGATTGAATAAAGAAAATGTGGTACATATACACCATGAAATACTATGCAGTCATAAAAAGGAATGACATCCTGTCTTTTGCAGGGACATAGATGGAGCTGGAAGCCATTATCTTCAACAAGCTAACACAGGAACAGAAAACCAAACACTGCATGTTCTCACTTTTAAATGGGAGCTGAACAATGAGAAGACGTGGACACGGGGAGGAGAACCACACACATTGGGGTCTGTTGGGGCCAGGAAGCAGAGGAGGGAGAGCACTGGGAAAAACAGCTAATGCATGCTGGGATTAATACTCAGGTGATGGGTTGATAGGTGCAGCAAACCACCATGTCACACATTATCCTATGTAACAAACCTGCACATTCTGCACAGCAACTTAATATAAAATAAATTTTTTTTTAAAGTGAAAAAAAAAATAGTGTGGGATGTCATTATTAAAGAAATCCAGGAAAGACTTAGCTGTATTAACTATGTCAGAATAGGATTGTTGAATGAATGAGTAAAGGAATGAATGAAGGAGTTACTAGCTCTACCCTAATCTTCAGTTACACTCTATACCCAGAGTAGCAATATTTATTTAGTACAGGATCCATATTTTCAGTGCATATTGACACATGAATTTATTCAGAGAAAACTGACCAGATGGTGATGGGACTTGAAACCACATTCCAACAAGTGGTGGTAGAGGACTGGTAATATTTAATTTAAGAAAGAAAAGACTTAGGTGAAAAATGCTAAAAGCTAAGAGTTACTGAGTGTATACTCTAGGTCAGGCATTGTGTGCAGCCTTTTAATAGATTTCGTATATTATGGTTAATAACGGAAAGGAAACATTTTCTTTTGAGTTTTCCTGGAAGGCAGGACTAACAGTAGTCAGTGGAAATGGCAGAAAGATAACTCTGCTTATCAGAATGATGGCATTTCTATTCTCAAAGCTGCCCAACAAGAGAAAGAGCTGCTTGGATATAATGATTTCCATGTTTTTGGAGGTGTGCAAGCAGAGACTGGTGAAACTTTTCATGGACATATTTTAGAGAGGAATGATTATTAAATGGAGGTATAGACCAGGTGAACTCTAAGACTTTTTCAACCTTATTTTGTGAATCTATCATTGTCTTACAGTACAGCAATTCCATTTTTGGCTCCTAGTTCTGTGGCATGAGCCTTCAATGGTCAATGTTACTTCTAATTTGGTAGTTCAGTTGTAGTGGGTTCTGGTTTTGCATTTCCCCCTGGCAACTAAGACGAAACCCAACAGAACTCAAAGTCTCAGGGATGGGGCACAGATATTTTGTGAGTCCACCATTAAGTATAATGGCAAAAAGGGCCTCTCTCATTTTCTCATTTCATCTCTAAACTCATGTACTATTCATATGAGAGAAATAGCACCAAATATTTAGATTGCTTTTTCAAAGCATTATAAATTTTTATTCTTGGTTTGAAAGCTTCACATGTGAATAGCATTTATTTTTGTCTTTGTATTTAAATGCAGTTATTTATGTTTCTAAAACTCCCTCTGATTGCATTTCTTATTTTGAGCTTTGTTATTGTTAGAGCGCACTGTGATCATCCACCCACCTGTGCTTTTATGGCAATTAACATCACACCTTAAAAATTGGTTCTTAGTTGGGTGCCATGGTATGTGGCTTTAGTCCCAGCTACTAGGGAGGCTGAGGCAGGAGGTTAGCTTGAGCTCAGGAGTTCAAGACCAGCCTGGGGAACATAGTGAGACTCTGTTTCTAAAAAACAAAAACAAACAAACAAAACACCTGGTTCTTATGAATGGGTAAATAAAACATATTCATTTAAAACAACCAAAGAACAATGAAGTTTTATAGATATAAAAAATTAAATATCATATATTAACAGATGAGAAATTCAAGCTCAGAGAGATTAAATGATTTGTCATAGTCACATGGCTAGTGGGAAATTTGAATTATTGTCTTACTTCTTTTTTCCACCCACTTAATGATGCAATTATGTGCTATATTCTTAGTAAGATCTTTTTCTTCTCCTTTGCCCTCTTCTCCTCCTTCTCCCCTTCTGCTTCCCTTTCTTCAACTCTTCTTCATCCTCCTAGCATGTAGAATATTCTTATACCAGTTACTCATATCTTTACTTACAGCCTGATTGGCATGTGACCAGCACAGACAGTATCTGAGTAAGGTTCCAAAATAGTCTTTTCTTTACCTGTATCCTTAGTCAGGTAGGCAAGAGTTCTAAGGAATCTTGTGTTCTTAATTCTGAGTTGCTTTTGGATCTCTGCAGTGCCGCGTATGATGCTGTCCTTGACAGAAATGTGGCTATTAAGAAGCTCAGCAGACCCTTTCAGAACCAAACACATGCCAAGAGAGCATACCGGGAGCTGGTCCTCATGAAGTGTGTGAACCATAAAAACGTGAGTTTTGTTATTTTTAAATTTCTGGCAATGGGAGTTTGTGAGACTGGAAAAAGAAATCTGTACTTGAGTAAGAAAGGCTTTCTTTCCTTTGCTATTTCTGCCTCTTAAGATTGTTTATCCTGCCAATATGCTACATTTGATTTCCTTGTCCTCATGGTAGCTTTCTGCTTAAAAATCACCTAACAACCATATGAGGTGGAAGTGATGAATTTTATAAAATTTCCCTAGTTAGAAAATTTACCATATTTGGTTATCTTGCTCCAAATTGAGAGTTTCATGCATTCCAAAAAAGAAGCAAGAGAAGCAAAACCAAAAAAATAAAATAAAATAAAATAAAAAATAAAAAACCTACAAAGCACCATGCTACATTTCTTTATAATTTAGATTTAATTGCTAACATTTGAGTTTTATTCATGTTACCTCCTTTTTGTTTCAACTGTAGTCTAGTAGTGGCCTCCAATTGTTCAGTGAATCCACTTTGTGTTGGCATTGTTTATTTCAGGGCTGGGCAAATATGCAAGCACATATTTGTAAAGCACTTGAGAACAGGATCAAGAGTTTTTTCTCATCGGAACTCAGCTGGGTAGACCATTAAAGGACTTTTTACACTTCAGAATCTAGGCTCCTTCAATCACAGGCTGAGACCAGTAGAATTCTTTCTGTGCTCCACTTCTTAGTAAAGATAAATAGGGGATAATTCATTATTTTAAGGAAAATGTTTATTAATAAATAAGTTATAATAAATATATTGAATATACTTTACATATAAATACATAATAATAAATTATGAATTATTATAAATAAAATTTTATTTTCTTAAAAATCAAAAAAAATTTTATTGTAAGTAAAATCATTATAAAGTATAATAGCTATAATAACTTCCTACAAAGTTCTCACATTACCAGTGTGGTTTTATAAACCATGGATCTTGTCCTAGTGCTAGCCATCTACCAGTGGCACTGAGAAGACACAAATGTATTAGTATTAAGTTGAAAGATATTTGGAAGGCAAATATGCAGATTCAGGCCCCATGACAGTATTTCTCTTTTCCTCTATTACTCTACCCTGATGATTTTTAAATTCGGTCTTTTGACATGTATGTGCTGAATGAATAAAATGTGCCAGGCACAGATCTAGATGGTCTGGATGTTGACACAACAGTGAAAAAAACAGACAAATCCCCATCCATGTGGAGCTGATGCTCTATTGGCAAGAACAAGGAGATCCACAATAAGATAGGTCAATATGTAAAATGTCAGGTGAAGGTAAGTTCTATTAAGTATAGCAAAGCAAAGCAAAGCAAAGAAGGAAGATTTTAAAATGCTGGTCAGTGTTGGTGGGGTAGGTTTGCCCTTTAAATAGGCTGAGCAGCAAAGACCTCACTAAGAAATGGAAATTTTATGAACTGCACACCCACAATTAATATGGCCATGCAACAAACATGAGACTTCTAGAAAGGAATACAGAAATAATAGAAAGAGTTATATACTAAAGTAATTTGTTCTTTCAGTATGTTAAATAAAGGTAAGGGCAAGATTAGCCACATGATCGATACAAGACATTCTGTTATACCAGGGAGGATGGAACATAACATGGGCAATGGAAAATGAATGGATACAAGCAATGGAAAACTTTCCATGCAATTAATTCATCCTCATTCCAGACCCTGTAATGCAATACAGTGTGGAGAAATGCCCACTTACTTGGCCAGTTTGAGAGAATAATACTTCCCATTCTAGACTGAAATGTTGAGGTCTCATATTTAGGAAGCCTAAAAAAGAGTTCCAGATTGCAGTGATAGTTTATAAATAGCATCCCACCTGCTACCTTCCTTTTATTTGTGTATGGATGTATGTAGAAGTCTACATAAACACATTTCTGGAATGTTTTATGAAAAGGAAATTCACTTGCAACCAAGTGTAAATTCCACGTTAATAAGAATATAGAACTCTTAATACTGTGGAAAGCAAAGGAAGGGTAAAGTAATCCCATTAATCTTTAATAATAGTGAGGAAAATCTGTTTAGAAAATACTTCTTTATGGTGTTAGTTTGATCCCGTTATCTGTATTTCTTATCAGCTGAAAATTAGATTAGAATTCTTATTTTAAAAAAAGAAAATAAATATTCAATTCTAGGAACTAGTGATTGTGAGGCCTGACAAGCATGGATTCACATCTGTGTGTCTCAAGGTGATAGGATAAAAGAACTTAGATTCCTATCTGGAAACTGTTGAATTAAAATGGAAATAGCTGTGATAATCTCCTACAGATGCATGTTTTAAATTGGCTATTGGTAGGAATTAGAATTTATAAGAGAGCAAAGGAAGGATAGAGGATAAATTCTCAAAGGGTAAAAAGTGAGAAATCAAGGTCATAGGAAACGGGAAAATAAGAACCTACAGTAGGGAATAGATCTTGAAAAATTATGTTTTAGGATGATAAATCTTGATTTATTTAAAATTATAATGCTATTTTCTAGGTTTTTTTTAGATTATCTAGATTATTTGTTCACCAGATGATCTGGGTTAGCGTTTTTCCATTTTCAAGGAGTGTTCATGTGAATGTTTGTGTGGGTGTAATGTGTGCTCTATACACAGTCTTCAATGTTTTTGTTTGAACAAATATCAAAATGAAATAAATTACTGTATAAAATTGATAAAGTCCTAGAGAAATGGACCCACTGTAGATGTTCCAATGAAAGATGGACTTCATAGGCATTTTCAACACTCACTGGCACTGAGATGCTATGAGAATACACAATAACATGGCCCTTTAATAGCAAGTTTTAAAGATAATTTTAAAATAATTATATTTCTGTATGAATATTCCACACTACAAGTTTGCTTTAGAAGAGATAGTCTTGTTTTATTTTTAAATGTGGAATGCTTCACGAATTTGCATGTTACTATATTACAACTATTGCTATAAATATGTATACTAGAAAATATTGGATGGTACTGTGATTCTTTTTTGTCAATAATTTCTCAACAAGTTAAAACTACTTGAGGCATAAAACATTCCATAGAATTGAGTCAAATTTTCAGCTGTTTAAACTAATTTTGTTTTGTGTTTATTACTCTACATGTTTTTATATCATTTATAAAGTTTACTGAAATTCATTGATTGGTGATTTGAAGTACTTGACCTTGTACTTATCCAGTTTTTATAAAATAGTTGCAACTATATTGTGAATATAAGATTGTTATCTTTATGTTTTTATTTTCATTTCCTACTGGTATGTTAGTACAGAATATTTAGTCGAAAGCCCATTTTGAGTTATTGATGTATGCAATCTATTTGGAAATGTGACAAAGTGTTTTTACAAAATTTGCTTATGCTAGAAGGTAAATTTCTTTACTAGCTAATATATAAAATAAAGCAGGAAACAAAAAACTTCTAACTGAATTTACATAACTTTTAAATAATTTTCTGCTAAATTCATCATTGATATCTTCTAGAATGCATCTTTCCCCACACATATTATTGGAGCATTAGTTTAAGTAATATTTGAATGTGAGGTAGAAGTAAAAAAAAGAAGTACCAACACAAAAAATCATGAAGAAGAACACCAGTTTGTTCATCTGGAGAAGTATCCCACGGCTAGGTCTCATTGAGTGTTTTCCTGCCATCTCTCTTCTCACATAGCATTTCTTTTTTTGTTGTTTCATCCCACAAAGGCCTATATTCTGCCACGAGGAATCACACTTGAAAGCATTGTAACAATTATGCATCTCTCTGACTCTTCTGCTCAAGAATTGAGCTTTTTAGCTTCATTATTAACTTTAAGACAGATCATCTATGAGACAGCTCCAGAAATTTTTCCAGCTTCTCTATTTTCACCATAGCAGTAGTGACTTTGAGTTGAAGTAAAATTTTAAAATAATACATTCTCTCCCTTTTTTCTTTCTCTCTTTCCTCTGCCCCTTCCACTCTCTTTCAGATCATTAGTTTATTAAATGTCTTCACACCCCAGAAAACGCTGGAGGAGTTCCAAGATGTGTAAGTAACAAAACTCAAAACTCCTGAAGGAAGAGATAGCACAACACTCAAACAGTCCAAGGGAAGATCACACACACACACACACACACACACACAGAGAGAGAGAGAAAGAGAGAGAGAGTTGAAATCCTTGTACTGATCAAAAAGAGGTAAGAGGTGGCAGTAAATGAAAGGGGTCCATTGATAGGTAGAGGAGATTGGTGTTATTTACTGGAAAGATATCCTGCCTCCTTTTGGCCTTGTGGCTTTATATACTTAGTTGTTCCATGCTCTTGGTCAATCAGGTAAGGCTTATTTATTTATGATTATTAATAGTTTCCATGAACTTTCTACAATGAGTTAATTCACCTGAAGAAATAGTAATAAAAGGGACATGAAAATTATCTTTACTCTTTTGATTTTTGTAGTGCCATTGATTTTGTGCAAAGGGTCTAACCAGAAGTGACAACAGATGGAGGAGAGGAAGTGGTTCCCTAGCACCTTGTGTTTAATGCAGATGCATTGAATTTAATGGAAGAGGCTGTCTTGAATTTTTTTCTTATTTGTAATTATAGTACTCAAGAAATAGTTGAGGGAATGCAAGGGAAAGTGAGAGCAAAATTAAGGTAAAAAATCTATGGGGACGAACCACACACTAATAAATGCTGCTTCTACTAGCAACCTTATGGTAGGGTTCCTGTAGCTAACACACATGCAATACCTGGAAATTTTCATATTCTTGATTCTGTCAAAGTCAGAGCTAGGAAGTTCAGAGGACGTACAGAGTTAGGAGAGAATTCTGACTAAATCAAAGGACTTCATCGATCTTGTGATCTGGAACTAACATTGTGGATTTACTCTTCTAGTTATTTAGTAATGGAACTGATGGATGCCAACTTATGTCAAGTGATCCAGATGGAATTAGACCACGAGCGAATGTCTTACCTGCTGTACCAAATGTTGTGTGGCATTAAGCACCTCCACTCTGCTGGAATTATTCACAGGGTAAGAATACCTTCTCTAGGATTACAATGAAAATGCTTTAAGAGAAGAGGAAGAGTAACTGTAGATTATTTTCTTTATACAGGGGTATTGGTCAAACATAATATACTTCCTCATTTATTTGATACTAAAATTAGTACCTAGTTCACTAGTTGTAGAAGAAAATTCTAGTTATATTGAGGTTGAGTTTGTTGAATGTTATGTTTCGGCTCATTGAGACCGTTTCTTAGAAGCCTTATGCTTTCAGCTCCTTGATTGGCAGAGGTCATACTTACAACTGAAATAAGCCAATTCATTTCCATAGTTGTTTCTGGTAGCATAAACACAGCTGCCCTGATCTCCTCTTCTGTCAGGCCTAGAAATGATATATAAGTTGATTTATATTGTCCTAAGGAGAAACCTAACAGAAGACAGTAAATGATATTTTTTTTTCTAAAACCTCTTCCCAAGATTAGTGTAAATTGTGTAAATGATAATACAATTCCTTTCTGGGTTTGAAAATCTTTCCGGGGATTTTTTTAAATCCAAAAACTAATAGTTAACTTATTTGTAGCAGTAAGCATTTGCCTTATCTAGGGCTCTGTAGGCAAGGGGGACCTCATCAATGCTACTGCAAGATGGCTATATTGATTGAGTCAATGAAAATAACATGTTTCACTTGATGCTGGCTTTTAATTTTTTCCCTTATCCCTGTTGTTAGGATTTAAAACCAAGTAACATTGTAGTCAAGTCTGATTGCACATTGAAAATCCTGGACTTTGGACTGGCCAGGACAGCAGGCACAAGCTTCATGATGACTCCATATGTGGTGACACGTTATTACAGAGCCCCCGAGGTCATCCTGGGGATGGGCTACAAGGAGAACGGTAGGGATGCTTCTGAAGAGCAGCATCAAAACGATGAATAAAACGAGTATACATTTTAGATAGCCAAGGGGAATGTTCTCATTCATATACAGGCTTTTATAAAGTAGGCTGCCAGATAGCATATTCAGGTTTTTTTTTTTTTTTTTGAATACTACTGGTAAGAATCACTCATTAAAAATGTGAAGGGTGTTATTGAGAAGTCAGCTTTGCTAGAAAAGCACTAAATGATAATAGTGAAAAAGAATTCTAAATGGAGTCTGATTAAACAGTCAAGTGGATACTGATTGGCACACATGCCTAGATATTGAGAAAAATTGCTATTTGGGTTGCAGCTCAGCTGAGCATAAGTGTGAAAGCAGGAAGGAATCTACCACATTTAGCCATTTGGCTTTTATGTTGTGTCTCAGATTGATGGCTCTAGTTCTAGAAAAAGACAAGCAAAAAAGATGCCACAAATCCTTGGAGTGAAAATCTTCACAGACAACTTTGAAATAATCCAAATTATTCAAATTGAATAAGAATTTCTGTAATACTTTAAGCTTCTCTGTAAGAAATATTTAGAGTAGCAATTGCCTGTAAATCTTCATATATTCCAAAAATCGTAAAAAAGGAAAATGTCAAATTTGACACTACTGCTTTCATAAAGAAAATCTAATATTCATGAACACTTTAGAATGAAGGTATGGAAAGAATCTTAAAAATATATTACAATTGACTGTTGTTGATTAAAACAAAGGATTTATTAAATACGTGTTAGAAACCATTGCAATGTATTATTTTGATGACAATATATCTTACAAGTAATGTACCGTATTGAAAAATATATTCAATACACTTAGGAATTAAAATAGTTTTAAATTAGCATTGTATATGTATTCAATGTACCTTTCATATTTATTTTTATATTCTATTTAGTTTTTAAGTCTATTTTTATAAATTCTATAAAAATAATCAGTGTATTTTTATGTACAGGTGCTACAGGGTACTTTAATGAAAATTCCCTGGCCACTGAAGTTTACAGAAACTTCTTTGTATACTCTTAGATTAGAAGACAGAGAATGTATATATGCATTTATATAGACGAAGTTAAAAAGTCAGCTCTTATAAAGGTCAGGTTCACCCTGGTGGGCAATGTTGGAGTTCTGGTACCTTTTGACTCAGAAGAGATCAATCTAGCCCTCCTCACAAGGCAATACCACATCTAATTTATTCAGAAAAGAAGACATTTTTATACTTTCTTTGCAAGTTATTTTTAAAAAGTCAAAGGAGAAACAAAGTCAAGAATCAAGAATGTACAGGAGACTGGGTGGGGTGGGGGGGTCAGAATTTGCCTATTTGGGCTTTTCAGATCTTGGTACTACAGACAGTTGGTATTAAAATCCCTTTCCCTTCCCTCACTAGAAGAAATTGCAAGTTGCTGCCTTAGGTTTTTGACTTCTCTAAGTCCACGGAGAAGGGCTGCCTGGCACCCTGGTGCTGCCCTCCCACCAATAGGGGGAAGGTTATCATGCAGAAAAACCTGCTTGCTCCCACATCAGGCATGCCCTGCTGTCCCCTGCACCTAGCCCCACCTACCTTCCCCATGGAGCAAAGGTTCCCTTTGTCTATAATACAAAGCAAGTTGGAAGGGGGTAAATATTGATAAGACAAGGCAAAGGCAAAGCATGTTTTCCTAACAAGTATGACAATTTAGAAATAAATATATGTACATAACAATTTTTAACACCTTTAATACTTTTTTCACTTTCCTTCCAGATGACTCCTTTATACATATGCTAATTCATCATATGTCTTTTTTCTTGAAATATTTCAAACAGAAACTAAAACTGATGTTTATTTACAAGGAAAAACTTCTGAAGGAAAAGCTAAGTCCCAAATATGCGGAATTCCAATTCTTTTGCCTCTAAACCATAGTTCCAGCCATTTCCTGGTTTCTTGGATTTGGTTGAATTTATCCTGTTTTGCCCTCCCCCCGCCACCAAAAAAAAAAAGGTGGTCTCTTGTTGCCCTATTCTCTGTAACTGAATGAAATAGAAAATGAAAATAGCCACCCCTACAGGTTAATATTGTTTTCTCTACATCCAGCAAATGACCCAGAAAACCCTTTGGTGGCTTTTAGCTGTCACCTACTTGCCATGGAACCTTCGGTTTAACTATTGTTTTCCCTGTCACCAATGTCACCACGTTGTGGTACAATTGAGAGGCAATGTAAGGCACCCACAAAGTAATGGTTTTTTAAACATTAATTTGAGTTCTCATACTAGACACTGTTTATGTAATAGCATAGTGCTGGTTTTAATTCACCTTTTGGCCAACTTTTGGTGGGAGGTGAAAATTGTACTTTTAATCAAACTGTTCTTTTTCCTCCTCCTTCAGAAGTCAATTATCTTAGTTAACTTTACTTTCCTTCCTTTTCTTCACTACCCTCTCTCTCCTGTTCTAGTGGATATATGGTCTGTGGGATGCATTATGGGAGAAATGGTTCGCCACAAAATCCTCTTTCCAGGAAGGGACTGTATCCTTGTACCTTTTGCTACAGCTTTACCTGTTTTGTTCTCTCTCCCTTTTAAAAACATAATGATTTTACCAGGAGAGTAAAGATAGAAGCAAAAAGTTGGGTAAGTGGTGTTATTGTAATGAAAAAAAGTGATGATTTCTATAATCTGACCAGTACTCAAGACTACCTACCAGAATGATTTCTTTAAATTAAATTTCAATGGGCTTTTTTCTTCTAAAATTACTTTCTTGCCTGCAACTAAAACTAGAAATGCTACTTTTCCTTAATAACAGAGGCCACCAGATCCCTAATGATTAAAATATATTTACCTTTATAACTAGCAAAATAAGTCATTTTTGTCTATAATATTTGCAAGTCATTTTCCATCTCCTTTCTAAAACTAGTTTGTACTTCTACAATATTTAGGCATAAAATTTCTCTCCTTGCTGACATTCTAAGCTTCTGTCTATGGCTTCACTGATTTAAATTACTCTTAACACTAAATCAAATCTTTAACAGGTCAATATAACATATCCTCCTCAAAATATGCACTTCCACATTTAAAAACTGTAATTATTGTTCAAGTTGCTGGTGGTCAGGTGAACTTAAAATAGACTTATCTCACTTGACTTGGAGATGTGACATACACATAGATACTTGTTTTCCCAAATAAATTTATAATTTCATAAAGCAATTTTGATTTAAGTTCTATTGAGTCCTACAATAGAGTCCATCAGAAATTTTCTCTAGAGCTATCTATGATTTGGAATTATCAAATGAGCTGAAACATTCTTAAATGGCCAAAAGTTCACTCTGTAAAGGTACAGATATGTGTTTATAATATACAGATAATAAAGTTTACATATAATAGTAGAATATACTTTTAAAAATACAAAAATACCTTACTACAAATACTAGCGCAAATCTAAGTACAACCATAATTGACAATTTCAACAATTATAAGCTGGGATTGAATTTAGTGTATTTATTACATATGGATGTTTTGGAAATTAGCACTAACCACGTGACCCATAACTCTATTAACCATTCTATTTGATTGATAAGAAAGTGTATTAAGGAATCCTTTTATTATTTAAGAAAGGTTATGATTTTTATTATTTAAAAAGTCAAATACAAAAAACAAAACAAAACAAAAACCTGACTCAAGAAGAAATGGATACCATAATAAGCTTTATTTAGGTAGGCATTTATTCATTCTGCTGGTTGTTAATGAGATAGTCTCTAAATTCCACTAGTAATGTAAGAGTAATGACATATTCTAGAACCGCACTGTCCAGTAGGTACATGTGGGTATTCAGCACTTGAAATTATAGCTAGTTGAAATTGAAATGTGTTTTGTTGTTAAATGCATAGCAGATTTTGAATATATTTCTAAAAATATATAAAATATATGATTAATAATCATATAGATTGTGTTAAGGTGATAGCATTTATAAATATATTGGGTTAAATATATATGTTGTTAAAATTAAACTCAGCTGTTTCATTCTTTTTAATATGGAAATTAAACTTAAAACTACGTATATGATTGGCATATGTGACTGTCATTTTTCTGTTAGACAGTGCTGCTCTAGAACATGAGAAAACTACATGGCAACTATTTATTTATAACCAATCTTAAAGTCTTGAATCTCTGTTTGCTCCATGTTCCTTTCCTGTCTATAGTGTGAAGTCTCATTTTCATCATTAAATTTGATATGGCTACTTAGGAAAATTCATTTCACTTTAAATTACATATCTATAGTTTGGGGATCAATTATATACCTACCATAGTTTATCTGAACAATGTTATAATGCACATTCATATTTAAATGTGCTGACTTTATTCAAAAGTAGGAATTGTTTTCTTTTTGCTTTTGCCTTTGGTGTATAATACATTTTAGATGAAAAAGGAACCTCTCAATTCTCAGGGTGAAGTTGCACAGCCACATCTTTGCAATGCGCTTGTCAGTGGAAAGCAAAAAGCCACAGACTTTCTCATTTCCATGTGACTTTTTGTTACATGTCACTTGATTTCATGTAGCGAGGTTGTTCTCTGAGATCTTATTTAGCTCTTCAGGCATTTATGAGGATTGCTTTTCTTCTATTTTGATAGTATTAAATTTAAAAGCCAATAAAATGAGAAAAAAGTGAAAAGTTTTAAACTTAATCTAACCCTTCAGAAAAGCAAGCAAACAAACAAGCAAATAAAACAGCACCATGTTGGATAATTCTATTTTCTATTAGAAATTGTTCTCTTCGAAGCCCCCGCTTTTTTATCCTAGTTTGTTTTGGAAACATTTTTTTAGAGCTGAAATTAAATTGTGTGAAAATAAATGCATAACATTTAGATCCTTGATATGTATGAAACTAAACATTTAAATAATCTTTATTATAAGTAATATAGACTATAATAAAGGTTTGCAGTCTGTATTTCTTTATCTCAAGTGATTATTACATAGCATAGCAGGCTTTGATAGCCTAGTGCCATATGTGATAATGA